TGTTTTATGTACATAAGAGTAAAAATTGTTAAAATCAAAAGGACAGAATTGCCAGGTGCTTTGCAGCAGTACAAATGAGCCTCTTCTTAAAAGCTGTGAGATTTAGTTTGTTTATGTCAGGTCTTTTCATGGAAGCAGTGAAAAAAGGATATTTTCATGTACGGTTTTCACAATGCTTTAGTCAAGGCAGGATGATAAGGTTCTATCCAGCCCCCTAGGGTCTGCCATCCTACTTGCTTCAGATACCACACATTGAAAATGAACTCACTTAGGAAAGTCATAGTGAGTGCCGGATCTAATTTGGATGATTTGTCAAAGAACAGCTGTAAGGGAAACCACACAAGTATCAAACAGTCATGTGAGCTGGATAAAAGCTGCTTTTTTAACAGCTCCATGAGGTCTTGTCCAGGGGATACATGACACTGCTGATGCTAAAATAAAAAATCTCAGTGATATATTTAATACTGTAATAAAATAAATACTCCCATCTGTGACGAATGCGGTGACCGACCCCTGCCCTTCTCACCAACTCGTGACAAAGGACCAGCCAATCTCGCACTGCTCTGTCACTTGCGTAACAATGCCACTCTCAGATGCACCCTGCACAAAGATTTTCCAGCTCACGGGACCACAATCTATATGCCAGCAGCCTGAGAGCGATTGTCACTGTGTTAATTAATTACGCAATTAACGTTTCAAACTCCAAACTGCCACCAGATAGCTTTGGAACTTAAACCCTTCACAATACTAGCAAGAACAAATGTGAACAATAAGCATCTGTAACACACACTGTCACCACTGATAAGTATATTTGGAGGATTATTATGTACAGCAGCACACTTTTTAAGAGACAGGGATTCTTTAGTTTGCATTAAAAGCCTTAGAAAAGAAGGGTTTATTAATGAAAAGGTCAAATGGTGCAAGAAATTAAAATATTTTACAGAAAGGAATGTTACAAAAAAATAAAGAGAACAATAAAGCAACAAAGAAATAAAAGAAAGGAGTTAAGAAGGCAGAATATTTGCAAAGTCCTTGGTTTTAGCATAGTCCAATTGTCCAAGAAAAAAAAATCCTTGGTTCTCAAGTCCGTTAAGTTGTTCCTTGGTTGATGTTAAATGTGAGCCCATCTTAACAAGTCCTGTCAGTCCCTTTTCTATGATGTCAAGGGGGTGTGGGCAGAGACCAACTGACCAATAATCAGGTTTAAGGGATGGGTGCTAGGAGGCCACTACGTTTACGACCAATTCCCAAATACAGTTTTACACTAATATTAATAGCCTCCAATACATGCAGGTGGAATTCTAGCAACTGGCAGATTAATATTCAGAATTATGTTTTAAACCCAGGGATACCAAACACAGTGTACCGTGTCACCCAGGAAAGAGGACACTGCTTTCTCCCTTTTAGTATGTGCTAACATAGTCATGTATGACCTTGATTTGTTTGGTTTGATATTCCGCATTCAAATATCTACCTAATAATAATGTGTCCTGTTCCTGTTGAATTCTATAAATTGTATGTGGAATTGTTAAGTTGTGGAATAGATGGTTTATGGCATGCTCTGCATTCCTAGAGCCTTAATGGCCTAACAGGTCATGTGTGATGGCTTGACTGAGTTATTATTGTTTAACGATAGGGCAGAGGAAAGTGTTTTCCTTGGTTAGTGGAAACAGACATCCTGCCAAGACTAATTAGCTGTTTACAGCCTGGCCAGCTCTGTGTTTTAATTAAGATAAGAGGTTCTTTTGAAGTTTGTTAAAATTTACAGCTACAAATTTCACAATCGTTACACTATCCTTTAAAGTGTTGTGTAAGGTTATTGAATCAACCAGATACATTAAGTCTGAAAATACAACTTCACAGGTATCTAAGAAAAATGTAACAGGTGTTGTAAAGGAAATGTAAAGATTTGCTTTGTAATATTTGCCACAGTTGTATGAAACTAAGAACTAGTGGGATTTGTCATGAATGGAGTCTCAAGAAATATAAAATTTCAGTAAGTTATTCAAGATACAAAAAAAAATGTAAAACTCCAGTTTTGATGTTGATATTTAAAAGATAAGTTCAACCAAAAGCCTGTGCAGTTAGTGATGCTCCTCAGAATACATATTATTAGCTTCCTTTCCTTTCCAGTGCCACCAAATTCAGCTGCCAGCAGTGAAGGAAAGTTCTGTTACAGATTGCTGGAGTCAACGCTTACACAGGGCTATTACCTCATGTACAAATGAACAGTCACATGTAGCGAATCATATATTCCTTCATACCTGATATTTTTTGGCTCCCCAAACTGAATAGAGTGAAGAAAAGATAAATATATGCTGGGGCAGGGGGACTAAAGCCTTGGAAAAAGCCTAGTTTAAGTTTTCTCAGTAAGAATAGCTGTAGATGAGACAAGTTGGGTGCCATGGTGCCAGAGGAACCAAGGCCAGTGAGCCAAGGGAGTGTACATTTCAGACAGAATACGGGACAACTGATTTGCAAGAGGCGTAGAAGACATTTGGGTTACAGTAAAAAAAAACCCTTCATACTCACCTCTATGCTGCAGCGTTGGTTTGATACTGCAGCTGCCCCATGTTGGCTCTTAGACTGAAAACTGAGCAATCACATGACCACTGATCACTCATTTCTCTGTTTGCTTGGAATGGAAGGCATTGACTCTCAGTCACTGCTCTCCGCTCTGCCACTAGCACTCACTGGAGCATCAGGCAGGAGAGAGGGCAGGCACAGCTGGATTCAGCTCTCAACCACGTGCTATGAGCCAGAGCCTGCTGTCAATCAGGCAGTTGGGTGAATCCCAACAATATGGTCAGGATCCTTTCAGTGCCTGGAGTGGCTCTGTGACATCAGCTGACAGCGAGCGATAGCCCACTTTGCTGCAAATGGCAACCTGAAAACATTCTGACCACAAAATATAACTGTATACCTATGTGACTGTCTGATTGTTTTTCTCAGACTCTTCACTGAGATATTAGTAAAATTCCACAATTTTTTGTGGAAGACTTGTCCACTTCTAAAAGACAATAATGCAGACATTGCCATTTTTCTCATTATACTGAGATTGTATTAGGTAGTTTTAGTAATAACGACCCTCCCATGCAGAAATCAGTATAATTACTTGTCATCTGGAAGATTTTACCCCCTTTACGACCAGGCCATTTTTTGCTATTTGGCACTATGCTACTTTAATTGACAATTGCTCGGCCACGGAACACTGTACCCAAATTAATTTTTTTTTCAAACAAATAGAGCTTTCTTTTGTACTGGGTTTTTTATTTTTTTATTATATAAATGAAAAAAGACTGAAAATTTTGAAAAAAAACTAAATATTTTTTATTTTCTGCTATAAAAAACATATCCAATAAAAACTTTTTAAAAATCAATTTCTTCATACATTTAGGCCAAAATGTATTCTGCTACATATTTTTGGTGCAAAAAAATCCCAATAAATGTATATTAATGGGTTTGCGCAAAAGTGTCCACAAACTATGGTTACACAGTTACATAGTTAGTCTGCCTGAAAAAAGACAAAAGTCCATCCAGTTCAACCATTAAAAAAAAAGTTATAATCCTATTCCCACAGTTAATCCAGAGGAAGGCAGAAAAAATCCAGTAAAGCATGATGCATTTTGCTCCTGCAGGGAAAAACATTCCTTCCTGATCCCCTGAGAGGCAATCGGATATTCCCTGGATCAACTTTACCTATAAATGTTAGTATCCAGTTACATTCTGTGTATCTAGGAAAGAATCCAGGCTTTTTTTTAAAGCAATCCACTGAGCTGTCAAGAACCAACTCTTGAGGGAGTCTATTCCACATTTTCAGAGTGTGTTTGGAGATTTAAATTTATTTTCCTCCAGACGTAAAGAGTGCCCCCTTGTCCTCTGTGATGACCTCAGGGTGCTTAGCTCTACACCGAGTTCACTATATGAACCACTGATGTATTTATACATGTTGATCATATCCCCTGGTACATATACTGGAATTGTTATTAAATTAAAATGAATTAAAATTATTTTTTATACTAGTAATGGCAGGACTGTGGTAGCATGGAGGGCAATCTGACACTATCTTACACTTTTGACACTTTGTGGGAACCAATGATACTTATATAGTGATCAGTGTTAATATTATACACTGACACTGTACTAGTGACACTGGCTGGGAAGGGGTTACCATCTAGGGGCAATCAAAGGGTTAACTGTGTGCCTAACAGTGCTTGGGGTCTTCACTGTTTGCGATTTTTACTAAAGGATGTGCCAGTTTTTATGAAGGGAAGCAAAAGACAGCTCTCCCATGCTGTCAGGGCAGAGCTCTGTGTTGTTCACAATCACAGTCTTCCTCTTTACTGATCAGTTATCACCAATTATTGATGGCCAGCACCCGCTGATCAGCTTGGCATGGCCGGTATGGTACGAAAAGCAGGATCACATATAAGATACTGTACGTGAACCAGCGCAGGAGAGCTACTGTGTCGCTGTACCTAAGTGTGAGGTGGTTAGCAAATGGTGAACAAAAGGACATGGAAACACACAATTTCATCAGAAAAAGATTAAGGAAAAATTTTAAAAATGATAACACTCTGAGCTCATATAATGAGTTTGGGAACAAAAGTTAAACAAAGCCCAGCACAGAAGTACCAAAATTCGGTTCAGCAAACCTAACGACCAGCTTCTGTTAAACAGTCATGCTGGAAAACCAGCTCACTGCCAATGGCTGCATAAACTTATCTATGTATTCTGATGGGAGGTTGTTTCCACTGTCAAAATACAATAGAACAGTGGGAGAGATCCCTGCAAAAACATAAAAAAACATAAACTGACTGTGTTGATGTTGGGATCTGCCAGTTTTTGTTTTGTTTTTTTTTCATTTAACCTGCTGGTTGAATGTAAAAAAAACTATATGATGTGATAATGAGAGTCCCTGCCATTATACAAATGAGTTTAAAATAGACCGAGAACTCTCAAAGAGTCAGTCTGAGAAGTGGCAGCAGATATATTGTGAGCAGGGGCGGACTGACCATTTGGAAACTCGGGCACTGCCCAAGGGCCCGGGGTCAGTAGGGGGCCCTATGAGATGCCCCTGGTACCTTTTTCATAGGCTTTTTTGAGTTTGGGGAAGGACACAGGGGCCCCATGATCCACTATTCCCCGGGGGCCCCATGAGCTGTCAGTCCGCCCCTGCTTGTGACCAGAGAAAATGGTGTCTTAAGCTGGATTTGGTAAGTTCAGATCAGGGTTGGAAGCTTGAAGGCTCCAAAAGACCATTGGGTGAGATAGAGTCTTCAGTCCTGTGTCAGAACTTTGCTAATTGCCTACAGCCTGTGTGAGTGCATAGGTGCCAAGGTCATTATAAGCCAGATCTGAACATAGCTCAGGGCAGTTGCTGCCATTCGGAACACAAGCTGTGTCTGAAGATAGTGGTGTGCTTCAGCCAGGAGGAATGATCTGCTTGTGAGACATGGCCCTGAGTTAAGAGGGCTTCTTGCCCATAGGACTGGGGAATCAGGACAGCTATATGGGTCTGCAGAGTCTGGGAAAGCTAAGGTGACTAGTGAGTCCACAGAGGGGGCTGTAGGGAGTTCTATGTTCCCGATAAGTGGGAGAGTCTGATGTTCTGGGAGAACCCTATCCAGTGAGGCCAGAAGTGGGGCCTGAGCAGTAGTACTGCTAGCACAGACTGAATGAGTCTGAGGATCCCAACATCGAGGAGACCAGAGTTAGTAGCAGAGACTGAAGAGCCAGATGGCTTTTTACTTTTCATTAGTTGTGTGTGCTGAAGAAGGACCCCTACATGGGAAACCTGCTGTTATAAGAACTTTCTTTCTGTTGCCTTTTAATAAAAAGGGGCTGTCACACCCTTAAATCAAAATGCCAACTGCTATGGACTTCCTGTAAAAAAAAGCATCTACCACTGAGGTAAATATGCCCCATATCATAATATATACCCAGCTTTATAAAAATGTTGCATGGTCCAAATAGTGTGTACACATTAAGTTATATGAGGGAGTTGAATTATTGAAGTAAGGAATATCATGCCTCTCTAGACCCCCTGGTACACAACTTGCGGCCTCTAGCAGTCAGTAGCAGGAGTGTTGATTTTGTAAAAGAGGTGCAATAGCAATAACCTATTCTCTAGCAGTCTTATGTACCATAGCTCATGCCTCCTGCATCATCTAATTATTCTTGCAGCATGTCTGTTGTCTGCTTCCTCTAGGAAACTTGCAGTCTCTGACTATCTTCAGTAGCATATTATACTGAGTATCATGTGTGGTTCCTTAATGCCATTGGGGCACTATATACCATGTAGGTTGTCAAGTATTGACAACCTATAAATGCTGTAAGTCTGCAATGATATCATTCACCTTGGACGGGTAAAAAGTCAAAGGAAATTTTCAAAGCAAAACGCTCTAAAAAGCAAAAAATCTTCATGCTGCCATCTTGAAGTGTACTATATATTGATTATATAAAATATAATGGTGTATGTTTTGAACACTATAATGATTCTTAGGCAGCCCATAAATTAGTCAGTTTTTTTCAGTGGGTTGAACTAAAAAAAAGTGACTCAATTCCCCCATCTACACACTTGATGTGGAAGGGGAAATCCTTCCCCATTGAGCTATTGTATTCTGACAGTGGAGAGACTTCCCCACCATCAGAATACACTGTTCATTGCTTCCGGCTATAATCTGTAACACTAATTGAATGTAGAAATTCAACATGTCAGATGTACAGAAGTAAGTTGGTAGATTGACTTCTGTACAACCCCATCTGCTAATACCTGGATCAGAATTCAGTTGGTCCCTACTGAACCAGCCAAATTTCAGTCCATGTATGACTGGCTTAAAGGATAAGTTCACCTTTTAGACAAAAATAATAAATGCACATTATTGTGCAGGTAAACAAATGTGTATTTATTATTTTTGTCTACAGGAGCCTGGAAGCATTGCACCAGTGATCAGTCTCCTGCAGACCTGTCAGAATATCTGCTTACCGTATTGGATGTAGCAAGCATATATTCTCACAGGAAGCTTAAATGAACTACCACAGTGCTGCACAGCACCGTGGTAGTTCATTGAAAACTACAAGCCCACAGCCGTTAAGGCTGTTGGGACTTGCAGTTCATTCATTCATGGCAGTCCATGAATGAATGATGTGGCCATGTTGGCACAGCCCCGCACAGCCATGCTGTTTTCAAATGTTACAGATAGTACAGGGAGAGGATTCCCCTTACTATCTGTCAGAGGGAAGGGGTGATGGGCTGCGGCTATGGGAACATGTTACATGTTCCACCCTAAAAATAGCTTTGCTGGTTCACATATTGTCAAAGCAAAATAGATCATTTGAAACATTCACATCCCGTTTATTCTTCCAGTACTCAAGCCAGTCTCATAATGTTTAGGAACTGTCTAGGAAGTATGGAAGCAGTAGAATTAAGTACGGCTTCTTTTGTATTAACACGACTTCAAGATTTTGCTTGTTAAGGCTCAGGAGTGCATGATGATTGAAACAATAACTGCAGGACTGTATCAAAGTTTTGATACCTTGTGGGTGGATAGGCAGATAAGATTACATGGATGTAAGAAATAATCATGATCTATACCAGTGATGGCGAACCTATGGCACGCGTGCCAGAGCTGGCACGCAGAGCCATCTCAGTGGGCACGCCAGGAAGAAAAGGAAGAACGCGCTCTCCTGCGCACCCCCGGGGGCACGCACCGGGCGATCTCCGTGATCGCTGTGTCCTACGGACACAGCTGATAACTTGACATGGTAAAAGGCCAATCACAGCTGCCTTTAACCACTTGATCAGCCGTGTTCAATGACACGCTGATCACCGGGAAATGCAAATGCCGGTTCTCGGCTGCACTTTCCTCACACTGTCAGATCGTGAGGAAAGTACTGCCGAAAACCGCCAGTTGTCAGAGCAGGGAACGGCACCGATCATCAGGGTCACTGATCATCAGTGCCCTGATGATCGGTGCCCAGCAGTGCCACACACAATTTCCGCCCACCTGTGCCCAGCAATGCACCCACCTGTGCCCAGCAATGCACCCACCTGTGCCCACCTGTGCCACCCACCTGTGCCCAGAAGTGCCACCTACCTGTGCCCAGTAGTGCCACCCACCTGTGCCGACCCACCTGTGCCCACAAGTGCCACCCATCTGTGCCCACCAGTGCCACCCACCAGTGCCCATCAGTGCAGCCCAGCAGTGATGCCAGTCAGTGCTGCCAGTCAGTGCTCAGCAGTTGTGCCAGTCAGTGCCCAGTAGTGCCGCCAGTCAGCGCCCAGCAGTGATGTCAGTCAGTGCCACCTATCAGTGCTGTCTATCAGTACCCATTATCAGTGTCGCCTATCAGTGTCGCATATCAGTGCCACCTATCTGTGACACCTCATTAGTGCTGCCCATCAGTGCCACCCATCAATGATGCCCAGCAGTGCCGCCGGTCAGTGCCGTCTGTCAGTGCCTCCAGTTGGTGCTATCAGTAAGAGCCGCTTATCAGTGCCCATCATTTCCTGCATATCAGTGCATCATCAGTGCCTCCTCATCAGTGCTACCTATCTGTGTGGCCTCATCAATGCCCATCAGTGCTGCCTATCAGTGCAGCCTCACCAACGCACATCAAAGAAGAAATATTATCTGTTTGCAAAATTTTAGAATAGAAGCAAAGGAAACCTTTTATGTTTTTAATTTTTTGCTCTTTTTTCATTTATAGTGCAAAAAATAAAACACCCAGTGGTGATTAAATACCACCAAAAAAAAGCTCTATTTGTGTGAAAAAATGATAAAAATTGCATATGGTTACAGTGTTGCATGACCGCACAATTGTCATTGTTAAGTGCAACAGCACTGAAAGCTGAAAATTGTCCTGGGCAGGAAGGGGGTAGAAGTGCCCGGTAGGCAAGTGATTAATTCCAGGGTTGGCACTTTGAAATAAAAAAGTTGGTTTTGTGTTGCAGTTTGGGCACTCGGGCTCAAAAAGGTTCGCCATCACTGATCTATACTGTAGTTTTAAGTAATTAATTTTAGGATGTCTATAATGAAATATGATACATTTTAGATAAAATATTTTATCTTTTGTGAATTCCTTGATCTCATCAGAGACATACATGCAGCTTAAAAGCCTCCTTATTTTTTTATATGAACAATACAGTATGTCCAAAAGGTTGGTCCAGAGAATGTATGTAACACAAAAAGTGTACATTATTGCAAGACTAGTGATGACACCAACTTGTAAAATTCACATTGTCACGTTCAATCTAGTTTTACAGCAAATAAATGCAGAAACAAACTGCAAATTTCACTAAAAACAGGTCTTATACGGTTTGACAGGTTTTTTGTTTTTGGGAAAGAAAGTAGGTTGAAAAGTCTTTCATATAAATTATTCAGCACCCCTTTTTGCACCTGTGAGTGCATCCATTAAAAGCTAAAAATGAAAATATAGAGACTACCATGTGCTTTGATAATATGGAATCAGCAGTTCTAGTCTTATCCATTATTAAAGTATTTTTTTAGGAGGTAGCACCATTGTGCATGTTGTGCCAGAAGATGGCAGGGAAAAACATAATTTTTTATTTGAGACAACAGTTAGTAGTGAGTAATGCAGTACCAGACAGCAGCATTGTTAATCTGGGGAAAGGGGAGTGTTAGATGAACTAGCAGATTTATATACACTAACAAATTGAAGCCAAACTCCAGCGCATGCTGCAGTTACACAAGCAATTATAGCAATTGCTTTGTTCCTTTTCAGATAATGGTTTTACTTAAATAAATAAAGATTGATCATTGTAAGAACACTCTTAACTAGGTGAATATAAAAAAAGGAAAGCCTAAAAAGAAGAATAATGCAGCCATCACATCTAAGAATTAGTAAGATGCAATACAACAAATGTTTGCTTTTGTGTTTAATACCACTTTAAGTGTGTTTTGAATTTTCGACAATGCCTGGCACCCCACTTTAACCATTTATTACCTATATTATTATATAGGATTTGTATACAGTTTACGCAGCACTTGACAACATAAGGGCAGACGGTACAATTTCAATATAAATGAATACAGGAGAGATCAGAGGGCCCTGTTCGTTAGAGCTTATACATGCACTACTTATTGAAACTGGAATTCTTATCCTGTCATCAAAAACATGTCTAGTCTATGAATAAACTTTACAAAATAAAATACAATTTTCTGTGATGTCTTTGTTTAAAGTGGAACTTTAAAACTATAACAACTTAAATGCATGCTGTACCCCATTACTATGTAATCCTCTACTATACAAAAGGTAAAATGCAGCATACCAGCCAAGATCAGTAAATAAAAAAAGCAGATTTTCTACTGCACCTGCTTGGATTCATTTCATTCTTGAAATAACTGAGATAGATGCCAAAATGAGGAATGTTCGCCTTTGCGCTGAGCTCACAGGAACTCTCACAATATTTATGGGGAAGCTGGCATTGTCATTAAATCAGTCTAGATTTATGTGGAGGCTGTGAATTATCAAGAGGGTTTTGTGTGTGAATACTATGCTCTTTAAAAGTTATTACAGAGGTAATGAGGATACGTTGTCAGCAACATTACAGAGGAGACTAACTTTAGATTTTAACTGCGCATGCCCAAGATTTAGTATAGGCATGGAGGAGTCAGAAAGTGGTGTAAGAAAAAGATGGCCCTGTGCTAATTGTGGTGGGTGACTGAGATAACAGTTCCCTGTCCAGGAAATCTATACACACAAAGAATTTATTCAGCTAGGACAAGAAATTATGAAACAGATTTAGGATTCTGCTGGGATTATTTTAAATATTTTACAGGTTACCATTCCTCTTTAAAGTATTATTTCATTGGTGCTTTAGTTAGATTACAAGAACATTTTGAAGGATTTTTGTTCTTCATTATCCGCAGTTAACATTAGTGAAAAATGTTCACACTGCAGCAAAATATATTGATTTTTGTTCTTCTGTTTAAACTAAAAATTGATGTAGATAAAATTAATGGAGCAATAGCTTACATGTGTATTTAAAATGGGATGTTTCCAATGACCCTGACAGACAAAAAAAAAATCAACAGATGCCACAATATTGGTGGTCTAGTTATAGTGACTTGGGGGGAAATAACAGCAGCATGTGATGAATCAACGTGTCTATAGACACTAGACATACAAATGTTAGGCAAGACAAGTAACACCCACAGTAATTTAACTCAGAAGCAGAAAGATAAACTCTAAAACATATAATCAAAACAAGTAGGTGCATTTGTTTAGAAGATACTGACATCATTCTATTTGAAGGTATGGGGGAAATGACCCAGAGACAATTAAGATGACAATTCTCCCCACTTCCTCTATTGTCTCTGGAACAGGAAATGAAGGAAATTTTCCACACTAGTACCATGGACAGCAAAGAAACTGGCAGAGGTTTAACCAATGGTCACTCTATCCGGAACTAAAAAAGTTTTGGCTAAACATACACTTTAAGGATATTGCAAACTATTTAGCATCTCTGTATTATGACTTCCTTTCCAGCTACAACACCTATCTTTTGTCAAGAGACAAATTGAGAATATATGACATATGTAATTTCTTATCTTATATATAAAGTTGTGAAGGAGTACTGCATTAAATATCCTGTATATGTTTCCAAGGAGCAAATGAGTTTTGAAACAAGCTCTTACTGGCCACTGTAACTGCAAGCCCTATGGAGTAATTCAGCTTCAAACTTTATAACAAAAAAATCCCTTTTATTTCTGCAGCTCATGTCACCATGTTCCCCTCCAAACCACAAAATGCTGTGTGTTGTCAGCCCACAATAGAATGTAGAAGCTGAGTGCTTTTCTGGCACAACAGATATTTTTCTGAATTTGCAGGGCTTATAACCCATTTTGGACCACCCACAGCAGTTTTACTGTGGAAGGGCTGTCCCGCTGCACTGGATTATGTACTGTACATGTATATGGTCTAGCATTTCTGGGTAGGTGGCACATTCGCATGCATGCCACCCGACCTATACTGTCATGAGCTACAGCAAAGTTGGTCAGCAGGTCCCGGGCAATGATTTATGACCGTGACCTGTTGATTGGCTTAGCGAATGACTGTACAAAGCCAACAACACAGAGCTCTGAACAGACAGAAATGATGAGCGGGAGATAAAACAGTCACATTGCTTAGTAAAAGCAGCACATATTACACACATTACACATTGTTAGGCACACAGTAAACCCATTGATTTCCCCTAGATGTTAACCCCTTCCCAGCCAGTGTCATTAGTATAGTGGCAGTGTATAGTATTAGCATTGATCACTGTATTAGCATCACTGGAGATGTCAGTGTCATTTAGTAAGTTCCCACCCAGTGTCAGTTAGTGTAAGTACCATATATATAAATTTCATGGAGGTACAGTGTTGCATGGCTGTACAATTGCCAGTTAAAATATCGCAGTGCCAAATAACAGAAAATGCCCTGGTCATGAAGGGGGTAAAATCTTCTGGAGCTGAAGTGGTTAAAAAGATAAACAAGGGACAATGCACATATACTGCAGAGACGAACTGCATGCATTTGTCTGTTTTGTCTTTTTTTGCCATGAAATGCACTTCAGTATGCATAAACCTATCATGAGCTTTAAATACTCACTTTTTTACAATGCTAAATTAAACTACAGGTTTACAAAAATTTCACTAATTACAAACTTGCATATTGTGCTGCAAATGTGTTACTGCTTATTATGTAAGTGAACATGGTAAAAGCCCTGCAGAATTCTGTTGACTCTGCTCTAACTAGAATTTAAACTTAAAGTGGAGCGTGAGAACAAATCCTTTTGTCTTGTCTTTTTTTTTTTTGCTGACACGTTATAGGGTTTTTACATTAATGAAGATGGTGAGGAACCCCATGTTGTTTGACTTTCTGAATAGCCTTGGTCATATACCCACACAGATCAGGTATTTGGTGGGGAGTGAGATAGGGGATTGAAGTAGCCCAGAGACTCCAGAAAACGTTTTAATGTGTATTTTTTTCAGTTTTGAGGCATTGCTGTGTTCATAAACTCATTACATTTAGTGGGTTTTAAGGCAAAAGCTGTTTCAAGCAACTTAAAGTCTGCACCAAAACATGCTTGCGTCCAGTAAAGTAGAAAATCACTTTAAAGCTCAATTTCAGCCAGAACATAGGCAGTGTTTGCATGGCGCTGGGAGGGACACATGGCTAGACCTCGGCATAAGTAGTGGGT